GCAGGAAAGTCACACCCAGTTCCAGGCTAATCATGTTGTACTAAAATATCCTCTCATGTGGACAATAACTACCTAAACAAGTTCCTTATATAAGGAAGCAGTGTATTTGTGTACCATAACCTTGCCCTTTCCTGGAACTGGGAGATGATTCTACCAGAGCAAAGATTACGGAACCACTCTTCATACAAGCGTCTCTCACAGATCTGAAGTCAAGCAATGACTGTCTAAACGTATTACTTCACTTCCATGTAAGTGCCTGCAGACTTCAGCAACAGTAACAAACAGATAAACAAACAAAAATATCAACATGCCCCCCACCTTCAACAGACCATGATGTCCCTCAGTTTTAATATATCTGTGAGAAATCTTTTGACAGAAATCTTTTGATGCTGCTACTGACCACCAGCATTTTCAAGGTATAATCAAACTCATCTTGGCTACAAAAAGCTTTGGAGACTACTAGTTTAAACACAATATTTAAGAGTAATGAACTTGGTTCTTTTTAATGTGACTTGGAAAATTAATTTAAACAGAATTATCTGTTTTAAGTAAGCTTTTTGAATAGAGCTACAGAATTCATGCCTTTGAAATACAAAGAAAAACAGAGCAATCTTGTAAATTGAAAGAAAAAGAAGTCGAACTACTTAAGAGATCTATTTCTAGTAAAATCCTGATATGACTCTGAGCTAGTAGCTCTTAAAAGGCCACTGTATCATTTTGCAAAGACTAAGTTAAGGTATCACTAGATTTTCACAGATTATCAGCACATTCTCCTTCCAGAAAGATGGCTGATTTCACAGATAAATAACCTTTGATCAGTGGGAAGGCATAATAACTCGACCAAAGCAGGTGTTTATTTGCCCAGAGAGTCTTTTCTAGCTTGAAAAGTAACAGTTCAATGTCAGTTGCTTTCTACGCTATGATGGATGAGAAATCATTGGAAACAGCTGATAATCTAGCACTGCATGTCACACATTTTGCTAGCACTTCTGAGGCATATATGGAAAACACATGCTGTTCATGAATAACGTCTTCTGCTAACATCTTTTGTGTTTTGGGGTTTCACTCCAGAAAAGGAAGCATCTGCTTCTTGAGCTGAAAGTATTATTTGTATATTTATTGATATCAATATATAAGGTTTCCATCCAAAAGCCAGTTAATGTTGCTTTAGTATTAGATGAAGATAACCATTCCTGGAGATCTTTGATATCTCACTGTATGAAGAAACTAAAACATAATGAAAATTAAAGGTTAAGGGAGAACACACTGAATATTTTACTATGCAGCAAGTGGTCAGCTTTCCCAGGAATAAAAATACAGCTGTCAGAGTCAGACAAATATTCCAGCACCACATAACCAGCAGGCAACATTAGATTTCATATCTGTTTGACTACAAAACCAAAGCAAATTGTTTTGTTTAGACTGTAAAACTCAGCTGTGTGAGAAATTCATGAAGTTACCACACACACATATAGCCTTTAAATTAGCAGCTAAATTCTCCCAATCAGCTCCTTCATCTCATCCAGTTTCAACTAATTACAGCACGAATTAACTACATGCTGAGGCAATGTAAACTTAACAGAAAGAAAAATATATTTGAATTGCCTTTAGGTACCTCTGTAGTATATTGGGTCATGTGAACTTTATTGTTTTAGTTGATATATGCACAAAAACCCCTAAACTTCTTCCCTGTCTTCGCCCCATGCCAAACTGTACACTTCATGTTGCAAAGAGCAAATGGTAGAAACAAATGACATAAAAGAAAAGCAAGTGGATGAGATAATTTTAAAAAGGACACTTTGTACAGTAGCAGCAGCCTCAGTTTTATATTTGCCTAGACACTGACAGATGGTGTAAGTCTGTAAGCATTAACAGCAGAATGGTTAAAAATATCTGAAAGAACATGAATTGATTTTATGGCTTTTTTAAAAGGGGTTTTGTTTATGTAAAGAGAAAGCAACAAAGACATTTAAGGAGAAGCTGACTATTGGACAGCAGATACTAGAAATGCAAAACAGAACAAAAACCTTTAACAGAAACATCATTGTCTCTTCCAGGACCACTGAACTCTGTGGCCCAGGAGCTTCATGCCACTCAGAGGGACAATGTATCTTGCCTACCATCCATTCACAGAGGTAACTGAGGTGCAGGAAAGGCAGCACGTGCCCAGCCACCCTACATTTCAGAGCTCACTACTCTTCCTCTTGATCATGTTTCTGCACATACATTGTAACTCTGCTCAAACACAATAGGTCTGATGCTCCCAGGAAGCCTACCATGTGTGTGCAGGGAAAAACTATACTACCTGTGACCCTTTCAACAAAAAATAAAAATCAAAAGAACAGCCCACAATATAAAAAAACCAAAACAGGAACACTACTCCTCTACTGGACACGGCACTCTGCAATATAATGATGTATCTAACTTCTTGTCCTCCACATAACTGCAGAACTAAAACAGAACAAGAGAGGATAAAGAAATTTTTGGCATCTAGAGTGATTTGGTAAACCATCAAGACTAATTCTTTAGATACAAAAGACAACATCTAAAGCTAAAATAGTCAACCATGTTATGCAAATTAGAGCAATAGGTTCTACCATAGCTTTCAGTGATGAGCAGGCAGGCAGGTACTCTGAAAACCCCAACGTCTTTTGTACA